CGAGCTGCACCGATCAATGAAGTGTGCTCCGCCTCTGGACACATGTTGAAGGTGGCTGGTGCGGGACGAGCTGCGTTTAAGGGAGCGGATGGCAAGCCGGTGGTGCTGCACGACGTTCTCTTCGTCCCCGACCTGAAGGCCAACCTTATCTCCCTCCGTAAGCTTGGCAAGGCTGGGGTGAACACCAACACGGATGGGGCACGCACTTATAAGGGGAAGCTGGGCAATCGGGTGCTTTGGGATCTGCACGAGAGCAAGGACGTGTACAGATCTATGTGGCAGCTGCCGGCCCTGGCGTGGCATGGTGGGGGGCAGGCTGGAGAGGGGTCTGCATCCCAGGGGGAGTGCAATGCCATTGGAGGGGTTGGTGTGAAAGTGTCGGCCAGATCTGGGGAGACAGATTGGGCAACGGCACACCGGCGCTTAGGGCATGTGGCAATGCCTTTGCTGAAGCAGCTGGAGAAGGATGGAGCCGTTAAGGGTCTGAAGCTGAACGGACAGCCACCCGATTACAACTGTGAAATCTGTTTGCTTTCAAAGTTCACCCGTTTCCCTTTCCATAGTGTGGCTGGCAGGAGCAAGAAGCCTTTGGAGCTGGTCCACATGGACTTGGTGGGGCCGCTGCCGGTGCAAGGGCACAAGGGGGAGCGGTATTTTCTTACAATTGTGGATGACTGGAGCAGGCTGATGTGGGCGTATCCGCTGAAGCAGAAGGACCACGCCGCCTCCACGATACGGGACGATTGGCTGCCATTCGTGGAGAAGCAGGCGGAGTGTGTAGTGAAGCGGATTAGGACAGACCGGGGTGGTGAGTTCCTTGGAGCTGAAATGACGGCCTGGCTCAAGAAGCAGGGCATCCAGAGGGAGCTGACCACGGCTTATACCCCACAGTCCAATGGTGTAGCAGAACGGGCAAACCGGACCATTCTGGAGACAGCTAGGGCGCTGCTCATAGAATCTGGGCTGAGCAACTCTATGTGGCCTCATGCTGTCCGGCACGCCACCGTCGCTAGGAACAGGGTGCTCACCAAGGTTGGGGATGACTCGTGGGTGCCTTTGGAGAGGTGGCTTGGGAGGAAGCCGCCGGTGGACATGCTGAGGGTGTTTGGCTGCATGGCAGTCGCCCACGTCCCCAAGACCTACCGCAGTAAGTTGGGGGCGAGTGCAATCTGGTGTGTGCATTTGGGGCTGGCTGCTGAGAGCAAGGGATGGCTGCTGTGGGAACCATCCAAGGGTGTGTTGTTTGACAGCAGGGATGTGAAATTCATTGAGGGCATGATGTATGGGAGCTGGGAGAAACAGCCGGAGGCAAGGGTGTCCCAGCAGATGGAGCAGATCACCATGCAGCTGGACCTGACTCCTAGTGTGTGGGAGGAGGGAGAGGAGGCAGCTGCTGGAAATGGTGATGGAGAGAAGGTACAGGAGGCATCTGCTGGTGGAGAAAATGGTGTAGAAACTGGCGGCAGCACTAGTGGAGCTGCTGGACCCGAGGGAGGAGAGAAGCAGCAGGGAAAAACTAAGAAGCTGAAGGGTGTCGTTATGAAGGGATGGGAGACACCCGTCTCCAGGCCAGGACGTACCCGTATGGCTACTAAGAAGCTGACTGCAGGAACTGATGCAGCAGAGCAGCAGCTAGGGACCGAAGAGGCATTGCTGATTCTACCTCATGGCTATGACCCGGATGAGGAGGATGAGCCTGCGTACTGTTTTCTTGCCCCTGCACCAGAGGAACCAGCTAGCATGGAGGAGGCATTAGCTGGACCAGATAGGGACAAGTGGCTGGCTTCTAGGGATGCTGAGTACCAGAGTCTGCTGGAGAATAGGACATGGGATCTGGTGGTGCTGCCTGATGGGAAGAAAGCGATACAATGCAAGTGGGTGCTGAGGATCAAGACCGATGACAAGGGGCAGGTCACCATCTACAAGAGTAGGCTGGTGGCGAAGGGGTTTATGCAGAAGGAGAAGCAGGACTTCAACGAGATCTTTGCTCCCACTGCCAAACCCCCTACCCTCCGTGTCTTGTTGGCAGATGCAGCTGTTAGTGGAAAATTCATCATTCAGATGGATATTTCAACGGCATTCCTGAATGGGATTTTAGAGGAGGATGTGTACATGACGCAACCGCCTGGGTATGAGGATGGTACGGGCAGGGTGTGCAAGCTCAACAAGTCCATCTACGGCTTGAAGCAGGCGCCACGCTGCTGGTACCAGAAGTTGGCAGCTGTTTTAGAGGAGATGGGATTCAGGACCAGCAGCTGTGATGAGAGCCTCTTTCTCAAGGGCGAGGGGGAGAAGCTGGTGCTGTTTCTGGTCTATGTGGACGACATTCTTCTCTTCAGCAGCAGCATGAAGGAGATCCAGAAAGTGCAGCAGCAACTGATGGAAAACTTCAAGTGCAAGAACCTTGGGGAGGTAAAGTACTACCTCGGGATGCACGTGGAGAGGGATCCAGATCACAGGTGGTTGAAGCTGCACCAGGAGAAGTTCATCAAGGAGCTGGGGGAGAAGTATGGGATTGAGAATGAGCGCAAGATTGCAACTCCCCTGCCAGCAGAATTCAAGCTTGTGAAGGCTGCAGAGGATGAAGGGGTTGAAGCTGAAGAGCAGCAGCAATTTCAGTCCTTGGTGGGCAGCCTCTTGTACGCAGCAGTTCACACGAGGCCCGACATCTCTTTCTCGGTTGGGCAGCTGGCTAGGGTGGTGCAGAATCCATCAGAGGAGCAGGTGGATGCAGCTGAGCGTGTGGTGAAGTACCTGAACTCTCACCCAAGCATTGGAGTTCAATACTCCGCATCTGCACAGGTGAAGCAGAAAGGGGTGGAGGTGCTGAAAGAGAAGGGGGAGAGGCTTGGAGAAGGCAAGCTATTTCTCACTTGCTTTACCGATGCTACATGGGCTTCTGAGAAGGAGGATTCCTCATCTGTGGGAGGATACATCTGCGTAGTTGGGGGAGGACCTGTTAGTTGGAGGTCCAAGAAGCAGACGGAGACGGCACTCTCTTCCGTAGAATCAGAGTACATGGCGATGTTCCATGGGGTGAAGGAGGTGATTTGGCTGAGGAGGCTGTTAGAGGAGATTGGCCAGGAGCAGAAAGTTGCTACGCCGCTGTTTTGTGATAGCAAGGGGGCTCTTGGGATGGCCAGGAACGCTGTGCTTCATGGCCTGAACAAGCACATGCGTATCAAGTGGCACTGGCTGCGTAAGGAGGTGAAGAGGGGGACGGTGCATCCGATCTACATCAAGACTCACCAGCAGCCAGCAGACTTTCTCACCAAGAGGCTTGCAGATGAGCCTCATTGGCGTTGTGTGCGCATTAGTGGAATGAGCATGAATTAGCATGGAATGATGGGGATGCAGCCGGCAGGCTGAGGGGGAGTGTGTTGGGTGCAAATTTACATTGCACGACATCCTGCCGTCTGTTTGTACGAGTATGCGTGTGCGAATGCATTTGCGTGTGAATGGTGTGTTCGTGTGTTTGTTTGCTTTCGCATTTTTTCGCTTGATGCATGTGCAGGTACTCGCGCAATGTGCGCTTTGGCACAACATTGTATGCGCTATGAACAGTGCAAGCAGGAAGGACGAGCTCGCAAAGGAACCCAAGATGGAAGCTTTGCAGTTCGGTTGAGTTGATTGCGCAGATTCAGTTCTATCCAACTCGGAATTGTACTGTTTTGTTTGGTTAACTATAGTGTAGCAGGGAAGGCACTATAGGGGTACAATTTAGGTGAAGGTTGGATGTTGTTTGTCTGTATCTGCATGCTACAAGGCCAGGGGAAACCAGCGGAACCAGCATTTGGCTGGTTGGGCAAAGACAAAACAGGTTCTGTTTTTAGAACCTGAACCTGGTTGTTGTTTTCCCAGGTTGGAAAAACAGAACCAGAGGTTGTTTACCAACCTACCACCTGCTATTTTGTCCAGCCAGGTTGGTTCTGTTGCTTGGAATTATTTGGGATCATCCCTGGTTGTTCCCAGGTTGATTCCCAAGGTCCTTGCTAGCTAGAACTATTTAATCCTTCTCTGTTTGTACCTGAATATAGTCAAATTGATTCAAGCGAATTCCTTCCTCGCTGGAATTTCGTTTCTGCGCTATTCGACGGCGAAATGCTACCCGAGTCAACGCTAGTATGCTAGCACTCCAACGCTAGGCAAACGCTGTCCGAGCCATAACTTAGTAATGGCAGAACTTTTCGCGAGGCAACTTGGCTCATTTTAAAGCTCTTGGAGCGAGCTTCGATATAGCAAATTCTCAGCTTAATCCGACCGACGGTCTGCACGGCACGCTGCGCGATGTTCAAGGTACTCTTGCTGTTTTGACTAAGTCCTTCTTGATCCCTCTCTCTACAAACTCGGACCCGAGGATAGGGGCTGGTCTTGTACCAGGCACCCAGGGACCCTTGGAGGTGACCCCGAGGAGAGGTTTTAAGTTTGATTAAGTCCTAATAGCTTGAGTTTATTAGGCCCTTACACCAACACTGAGCAGTAGGGGAGAGGTCCAGCTTCTTCCGAGGCTCCGTCCACATTCTGCTCTTCCCAGTTAGCCTCGTCTTCTGCAAAGGCTCGGTCTCCACGAAAGCCACCTGCGGGGTCTCGATTTTCGGCCAGGTTGGCAAGGTACGTTGGCAGGGTGAGTCGCTCGTAGAAGATGACATCACGTGCTGCCACTGTTTCTTTTGTCTCGACGTCGAAAATCTTCCATGCGTTGTAGTGTTTTTCGATGCCCAGGTGTAGTCCCCATTGTGCTCGTTGGGAGAATCGTCCTGCTCGTGCGGATGGGGGTCGGTACTGTACCATGCAGCCGAAAACTCTCAACATTTTTGTGCTGCCCAATTTTCCTGTCCACAACAGATGCGGTGATGCGTTGTTCGGAAGTGAGGACGAAGAAAGCAGGTTGTGCAGCATCACGGCGTGGTCCATTGCTTCGGGCCACTGATGGTTGGGTAGCCGCATGCCACGTAGCAGTTTTCGTATGGTGTTCTGTAGGGTCCTGTTCATTCTTTCTGCTACACCTTGCTGTTGATGGGCGTAGGGAAGAGAGATGAGTCTCTTGATCCCTCTTTCTGCCAAGTACTGCTTGAACCTCTGTGAGGTGTACTCCCCTCCCCGTCTGGCTGAAAACTCTTTAGTTTGGCGCCCGATTCCCTTTCTGCTTCGGGAAGCCACGCGATGAAAGCTTCGAAGGCCATGTCCCTGCTCGGAAGGTTGAGATGCCAGACGTAGCGTGTTGCTGCGTCGATGAACGTGATGGTGTAGTTGTACGCGTTCTGTCCGGGGGCGCGGTTGTACAGGATGTCGCTGTACACCTTTTCGAGAGGCGCGTAGACCGGAGCGCCGGGATTGTGGTGAGATGGGAACGGTTGATGTGGTAAGTCAGCTTCGGGACAGGTAAAGCAGGTTCCTCGTGCTCGTTGTAGTTCTCTCCCGTCGGTTAGTAGTAGTGAGTCCTTATCGAGCACTCCTGCCCTTATCGTATTATTTAACACTGTGTTGCTTGGGTGTCCCATCCTTGCGTGCCAGGTGCTTTCGTCGGCGCGATGTCCGGGTGATCGTTGATACAGATCGGAGTTGGAGTAGAAGCCGGCGGTGACGTTGGCGCTTCGGTGGACTTCTCGTGGTGCCGGTTTGAGTTGCTGTGCGGGTATCGGTGACGTGTCGTTGATGAAGAGCGGTGCCGTTGAGGGACCAGCGACTGGTGTTGACATTTGTTTCTGCTGCTGCCGTTGTTGTCTCTGCTGCTGTTGATGTTGTCTCTGCTGCTGCCGATGTTGTCTCTGCTGCTGCCGATGTTGTCTCTGCTGCTGCCGATGTTGTCTCTGCTGCTGCCGATGTTATCTCCGCTGCTGCCGATGTTATGTCTGCTGCTGCCGATGTTGTCTCTGCTGCTGCCGATGTTATCTCCGCTGCTGCCGACGCTCTTGTTCTTTCTGCTTCAGGTATTGTGTGAGAATGCCAGAAGCCGCCCAGACTGAAGTCTGGATCAAGATGTGGAGGGTGTGTTCATTTGGTGAAGTTGACGATGGCATCGCTGTCTGCGGTGCCGAGATCGGGGACGAAGTCAAGAACGAAGACGTTGTTCTTGAGGACCGCCTTCCCGATATAAACACCACCTCTCCCGTGGTACAACTTGAATTCTGGGTGGTGCTGTCTGCTTCAAGTTGAATCCTTTTCGCCATCAACTGACTGACGCTCAGTAAGTTGTAGCCGAGGCCTTCTGCGATTAGAACTTTGGACATCTGTAGGATGATGTTTGTTTCTCGTGACTGAAGTTGAACGACTGCGCAGGTTCTGATTGTTGGCGACGGTGATGACGACTTCTCGTTGGAGTTGGTACTCTCGCTGTACGAAGCGTCCTGAAGAACACATGTGTTGTCCACAGCAACTGTCCAAGAACCACGTGTCTTTCCCGGATGGCTCGCTTTGGGCGATGGCGGCGTATGTCGGGTTCGGCTGAAGTGACTCGCGGCGAGGTGTCGTTTCGTCGAGTTGTTCTTCTAGTGAGTAGTGCGGTGGTGATTCCGTGACGCAGGAATCGCTCAGTCTTGCCATGCAGCTGACGATGTTTCTTGCTCCTTGTCCAGGTGTCCCTTTGAAGTCGTTGAAGCTTGAACCTGGTTTGTGGGATTCAGTTGCGTTGAGGCGACTTGGTTGCTTGAGGGTCGAAGTTGCCGCTGCGGAGTCGTTGACTGTTGACGATTCGGGCAGTGCGTGCGCGGGTGCCCTGACGTCTTGCAGATGTGGCAGAACGGAGGTACGGGTTTCGGTTGATATCGGATATTGTTGTTGTTGTAGCATCGTTGAGTGTGAAATTGCAAACTCCGGTGCTGATGTCTTTCTCTTACGCCGTTCTTCTTGCAGGTCCATGTCTTGCTGCTCAGCGTAGATTCCCGCGCAAAGTGCTGTCTCTTAGACTCTTCCGTAGGCCCGGAGAATTGCTTTGGTGGCGCGCCATTGAGTACCGAGGCCGCCGATTACGACTGCCACGAAGGCGTCTTCAGATATCGACCCTCCGCATCGAAGAAGCTTGTCGCGCAGTTCACAGCAGCGACTGATATATGCCAATCCTTTCTCGCCTGGTTTCATTTCGACCGATGTTAGCTGCGCCATTAGCCGACTCTGATCGACACTGTCTGTTGCTTAATACAGGTCCTTCAAGTGCTTGTACGCGAGCTCAGCGGAATTGCCGTAACCCGGTAAGACCGTATATTCTGCTACTGGGTTGGCGTGATGTTCCTCAGTAGAATCGTGTACGCCATCATTGACTGATAGGTGTACTGCTGCTTCTCATACTGTGTGCCGTTTGTTGGGTATGGCAGGGACCCGTCGAAGAAACCAAGTATTTGCGCGCCTTCCATCATCAACTCGAATTCGAACGACCAGGTGAAGAAATCCTTTCCAACGAAAGGTCTTGACGTCTGCAGCTTTAGAACGTGCGCGAATTGCGATTGAACTTGTAGTGCGTCCAGTGGTTTTTCTTGTCCAGGTGGAGCTTGCGGGTGCGGCATGAAGCTGATGGACCCGCGTTCGTACGGAGCAAAGGTAGGCTGCTGCTGTTGGTTTCCGCGCGCGTACGATGAACCGTCAAGGCTCATTGGAGTCACCTCGTTGCTGTTGTTGCTGTTGTTTGACTGCGCAGGTGCCGACTGCTGGTGTTGCTCGTAGAACGACATGAAGGAGAAGAACTTCTCCATCATGCTCTGGTCGAAGCTGGCAGGTTGACTTGCTGAAGGCACTGCTGGTCTTGATGCCGTTCCCTCCTCTGTTTGCAGGCCAGAGGTAGGAGGTGGAGTAGGAGTGGGAATAGGAGTAGTGCCCTGGGAGCCGTTAGAGGAGCTCCTTTCCTTTTGTGTTGCCATGTCTTGTTATGACTTGGATGTAGTGGAGTTTCCCTTGATAGCTCTCATACCATGTTGGGCTGAGAAAAGCCCTTAGGATCTTTGCAGGGGTGAGCTCTGGGTAGAAACAATGTATTAGCAGAAGCTTTGAATAAAGAGATTATTTGAACCACCTTGCGCTGGTATGTGAGGGCAAAGTTGATTGATTAAAGCAAGGAGATACGAGAATATATATAAGATTACAAGGAATATGAAAGGATACAGTTATAACTACTTTTACTGTTGCTGTTGCGGTTCGATACAGTGACGACTCGGGCAACTGCTCTGTAGCGAGTCAGTTGTGTGTCCGCTGTTGCGCTGTACTTGTCGGGTCAAAGGTCGCTGACCTTTGACTTTCGCGTAACCTCCAGCAACCTCTCAACCTCCGAGGGTTGACTCGCCAGTGCTTCGATAGGCCTTGCTTCGCTTGTGCCTTAGTGTTTCGACACGACAGAGGCGCTTAAGATTCGTTGTTTCCAACATATATAGCCTCGTGTTGTACCCAGGTGATCATTCAACTCAAACTCTTTTCTGAGCTCGATCCTAGATCCTTACAGTCGTAGTCGGCGCCGTACACCTGCGTGAAGCCCTTCACGACCAGCCTCGCCTTTTCGCGCTCGACGGTGTCGTCGATGTGATACTTCGTCGTCAGCACCCACGGTTCTTCATGACGTTTACCCCCGGTGGGCGTTCGACCAGCTCCCACGTCCCCATGCCGATGAGGCTGCGGATCTCCTCCTCCATGGCGGCCTTCACCGCCGGGCCCTTCCAGCTCGCCAACGCCTCCTTCACCGTCATCGTTGAGATGTCCCAACGGTGCTCGGGGTCGGCGAGCATGTCGGGTCGAGTTTCGGAAACTCTTCGTCCTCGTCGGCGTCGTCGTACAGCAGGTCGGGTCGCCGACTGCTCCTTGGTCGGCCGCGCTGCTGCCTGCTCCCCTGTCGGCTTCACCCAAGTCGGCTGCACCTCCTCGACCTGCTCCTCCCCTATCCAGGTCGACTGTCACTCCCATGTCGACCTGCTGCACGTCCCGTCGGCCACCGGCGATGCCCTTGGTCGGCGCCACCGGCGATGCCCTTGGTCGGCGCCACAGGCGACGCCCCACTGCTCCCCTCATCGCCGGAGGCCGACGGCTGAGTCAGCCCGCGCAGGTCGACGAGGGGGAGGGGCGGGGGAGGGGAGGAAGGGTTGAGACCTCGGCGTCGTCCTCAGCAGCAAGCTCACCGACCTCGGCGAGCAGAGGGAGCGGTGCCGTCTAAATAGCCGTCGCGTGGCTACCAGCGTCCGCCCTGACACTGGCCCATGCTCCGATTCACACCTCGAGCGACATGGTCTCGTTAGAAAACACCACGTCCGACGTGGTGACCACCCGGTTGTCGGCGATGTCGAGGAGCTCCCAGCCCTTGCTCTCCTCCGACACGCCGAAGAGTGAAGGCCCCACTTGGCCTTCGGCTTCAGCTTCCCACCACGCTGCTGCTCGGGGACGAGGAATTGCGCCATGCAGCCCCACACGCGCGCCAGCGACAGGTCGGGCTTCGTCCCGGTCAGCAGCTGGTATGGCGTCGTCCCCGGCGTCGCCGACCGCTCCAGGCAGTTGCGGACCCAGACGGCCTGCCGCAGCTCGAGGCCACCAGTGGTGCTGCACGCCCATGTGCAGCAACATCGTCCGCACCGACTCGACCACCGTCCGCATCTCCCGCTCCGCCATGCCGTTCTGCTGCGGGGTGTAGGGGCAGGTCAGGTCGTGGATGATTCCCTTGCCGTCCACGAAGGTAGTGAACTCCTTGCCGAGGAACTCCCCTCCTCGGTCAGAGCGCAGCTGCAACACCGACT